GGCTTGGGCTTCACACTCTCTTTGGTCTGAGAGGCAGCCTGGGGCTCCTGCTGTGGTCTGGTTTGCTGGGAGGCTTGTCCGACTTTGTACCGGCGTTCACAGCTGGAGTTAGTTTTCCCAACACTCTGGGAGTTTTTGTCTTTTCCTAGGGATTTGATCTATTTGAACTTTAGGTCAAAATTGTTACATTCAGTCTGCAATGATCTGTTTTGTGCTTTCTGGTTTTTCACTCGTGGGCTAGATTCTCTTGGTTATTTTCTCTTCCATGTTTCAGCAGCTTTAGGCCCTGTTTGCACGGCACTGTGTTCACCAGGAAGTTAATCAAAGCATTCTATAGCAGACGCTTCTCTGATTGTGAAGCTCATGGGCTAAATGATCTCTTCAGAGTCTTTTTTCTACAAAAGGCCAAAAATTTAACAGCCCCACTTCTTTTTTCCCAATCACTTGGTAAATACAATTTAGATTTTCATGTCCCCATTATTGTTATTACAGTATCTATATTTACAGTATGTAAAACCAAACGTAGCATCTGCACCTGCACACAGTTTTGTAATAATTACAAAGCTTAGCTCTCTTTCCATGCTTCCCTGGTCCCTACTCAGACTTTTCTTCTATGACCTTGGTTCCAAAGTATGTCATAGCTCTCTGCTGGTAGACATGGGCCTTCAGGATGAACTTCAACAAGGGCACCTGGCTGGCGCACTGTGTGAGCCTCCTATATCAGAAAGTACCTCCCAGTGGCTCCATTGTCTCCATTGGAGAATGGCCTGGATTTTGCACTTTTTGGGTAATTGTGTTTTATTCTGGCCTGGCAATCCCTATGATTTTTTGCCTTTAAATTGGCATATCAAAGCTCTTAACAAAACACATCTTCATATGACTCTCTTTTGGCCAGTTCTATCAGAACACAGCAAGGTCAGCCAGTCTGAACATTTCCCCTTGAAACTGGATTCTGGAGTTCAAACTGTCTGAGTATCAACAGTTTTGTATGTTCCCATCTAGTAGGTCTATCTTGAGTCCACTTAAATTTGTTTCCTACTTTTAAAAATTTATTTTTTGGGCCCAGCGTGATAGTGTAGAGGTTAAGGGCCTCACCTTGAATGCACCGGAATCTCATATGGGTGCTGATTCTAATCCCGGTGACCCCGCTTCCCATCCAGCTCCCTGCTTGTGGCCTGGGAATGCAGTTGAGGACAGCCCAAAGTCTTGGGACCCTGCACCCACGTGGGAGACCTGGAAGAAGCTCCTGGCTCCTGGCTTCGGATTGGCTCAGCTCCAGCCATTGCGGCCACTTGGGGAGTGAACCATCGGACGGAAGATGTTCCTCTCTGTATATCTTCCTCTGTATATCTGCCTTTCCAACAAAAATAAATCTTTAAAAAATTCATTTATTTTTATTGTAAAGATGGATTTGCAGAGAGGAGAGACAAAAAGATCTGCAGTTCACTGATTCACCCCCGGACTCTGGCTGCAACTGCCAGAGCTGAGCCTATCTGAAGCCAGGAGCCAGGAGCCAGGAGCTTTCCCTGAGTCTCCTACAGGGGTACAGGGTTCCAAGGCTTTGGGCTGTCCTTGACTGATTTCCCAGGTCACAAGCAGGGAGCTGGATGGGAAGTGAGGCAGCTGGGACATGAACTAGCACCATATGGGATTCCAGCATGCAAGGTGAACACTTTAGCCACTAGGCTATTGTGCCTGGTCCTGTTTCCTACTTTTTAAAGTTTAGCTTCTGATTTGATAATAGCTTTATATGTATGGAAGGATAATTCTTTTTATCATTAACTTCTTTAGATGTAGAGGATAAAGAATTCTTTTTCTCGTTAACAGTTTTACTTGAGCATGGTACATTTGCTATATAATGACCCAATATCAATACACGATAAGCTAACATCCATCCAGCATTCTTTGTTTTCTTTTTTTCTCTAATGTTTTCTTGTCTATTCCTAGATCCTTTCTGGGATACCACATCAGATTTCGCTGTCATGTCTCCTTGGACACCTGTGACTCAGACAGTCCCTATTTTTGATGACCCAGATCCTTTCTAGGAGTGTTGGTCAAGTCTTGGGCAGAAGGACCTGCAAATGGAAAGTGTCCAAGCTTTTAGCTCATGGTGAGATGTGGGAGTTGAGCTTCACGGATGAGGACTACAGGGATCGTGTCCAGGGTGTAGTTGACTGGACTCATCATGGTGGATACATGAGCCCTGGCCACCTGCCTTACTCTTTTTTTCCTTCTTTTCTTATATTACTTGTAATTCAAAAAGGTATCCTCGGGGCATGAAGAACTTGCATGAGTTACTTGGATTTCTGCATGGAACATATGGCAGGTGCATCTTGACTGTTTATTGCATTATTTATACAAATATGGTTTTGAGTGTATTTCCTCTACCCTTTGGGTTCTATTCAATGCTTTGTTGTTGTATGGTGCCCAAGGCTGCTGGAAGCAAATGTGTGTTGCTGTCCCACTCAGTGCCTTCTTTCCAAGCTCCAGGAGATGCTCCAGTATCATTTTTGGTATGTCCTGCCATATGGAATCAGCCATGGGTCTCTTCGATTGCTTTTAACAAGAATGGTATCGGGGACCAAGATCTGGGTTTTGAGTGTGCTTGTTGCTACTGCGGAAGGTGGGTACCTCTTTAGTTTCTGTTTTTGGTTCTGCTCCATCAGTTCTTGCAGCCCCCTAGAGGATCTTTTCTCCAGTCTCCATAGCTGTTATCTGTCCTCTCAGACTTTTTCTCTGGATATATTTTGGGAAATCTAGCCAAGCAGTTCAAATTTGTGTTCCACATCACTGAGTTTCTTTCTTGGCACTGACTGCGGACTCTAGGTCCGTTCTTGGATACCGAGTTTTCCTGCCCATCCACTGTATCTTCTTCTCCCTCTTCTTTCCCTCTTAGCTCAAGTCTCAGAGACTTGCTTTTCGCAGGACCTCTGCAGAAGTCACAGTTTCTTCTTTGTTCCTGAGTGTTTTCTTGTCATATCCTCTGTTGGCTTGGCCTATCCAGACTGGGTATTTCATTCATGCTTGCTCAATATATTTTGCAAATATTTGGTGCCAGGTGCTGGGAAATGAAACAGCAACCAAGCTGGTCACAAACTTCTGCTTCCTGGATGGAGGTGAGGGGGCAAGGAGCCGGGGAGACAAGTGATTTTTGCTCTTAGATAAAATGAAGTCTGAGAAATGTTGTAACAGGCAGAACTATATCCTCAAAAAGATGGGTGGAAGTCTTAACCCCAGGACTCAGGATCTTGCCTTACTTGAAAATAGGGTTATTGCTGAGGTTATAAATTAGGATGAAGTCGCACTAAAACAGGCTGAGCTCTCAATCCTCCTTGACGCCATGTGAAGTCAACCAGAGGCCTCCAGAGGGCAAGCCAAAGTTGGTAATGCCAGAAGCAAAGAGACCAGCAGGGAGGAATCCTGAAGCCTCCCAGAGAGCATAGTCCCCAGGCCTAGTCCAACCTCCAAACCCATGGACATGAGCTTCTGTTGTCCTAAGCCCCAAGGTCATGGCATTTTCCTACAGTGGCTCTAGGAACTGAATCAAGCCATCAATCAGTGACATGAAGGAAATCAGAAGAAAGAGGGGAGGTGGATATGAGAAGGGGAAGGGCACAGGAGATCCCTCCTTCTGAGGCTTTGGGGAGGACTGAACAAGGGCTGTGCACAGGATGCCCTTGGCTAATACTTGAGGGAAGGGTAACCCCAGGGAGGCAGGAAGCTGTTTCAAGTGCCTGCCCTAGGAAGACAACCCACCCACAGCAGAAGAATGCCAGATGCACCAGTCTTCCCTACAGACCAGCCCTGTTGCAGGTGCCCGTGGCATGTTTACCACACTGCCAGAGTCTGCTAGGCCTCAGCAGCTGTGTCCAGAGTGCATAATCCATCCTGGAGGAGGTGATCAGCAACTGGAGCATTGCTCTCCTTGCTCAGGTCCCCATCTGTGAACTCCTGGAATATAACAGCTCCAAACTGCCACCTGCTCTGGCTAGTGTTAACCCAGGACTTCCCCAAGACAGAAGGGACACATCAGCAGGGGGCCTCTGGGGTCTTCTTGCCAAGAGCCTTAAATGTGGGCATGAGGCAAAGGATGAGAACTGAAACAGCTGCTTGATGACACCAGGATATAAGAGGACATTTCTTAGGTCAGTACTCAAGATTCCTGGGAACTGGTTTTGAATTCTTTTTCCAACCTCATCATCTCCCCCTACACCTCCATCCCAAGTCTTTAGGTTCCTAGCATTTTCTGTGGGTGTCAAGCATGAGATGAGGGTACCCACCTGCACTCTGATCAGCTCTGTCTCCCTGCCCACCTCCTGCTGCTTGGAGTCCTGCCCAAATGTGGTCTCTTCTTTGGTGCCCATTGGAGCCCTCCAGCCAGGCAGAATGAGTTGTTTCCTCCTCTGTTCCCAGGCCCTTTGATTTCATTTTCCCTCGGGAGTTCTCAGTCTCCCCCGCCACTCTGTGAGCATTCCCGGGGATAAGGTCAGCCCTGGTGGCATCTGGGAGCCCAGGAGAAGGGCTAGCACACAAAAGGTGCTGGAGTGAGTTTGCAGAATTAATGGACAAACAACAACCAGGAACTCATTCACAATGGGACAGCTTCTTGTGCACTGTTTCTGTCCCCTAGGTGACTGACACTGGACGAGGCCCAGGAACTGGGGTTGCTGGATCAACAGTATTCTTTGCTGGGAGCTTTCGGCCACAGTACCTCTTTCTAAGTTATTTCAGAATGGAGCTGATAATAATGCATGCTGTGCTTGTTCCACAGGCTCGGGGGAAAAAGACAAAACCACCGGGAAAACTCTGCACAGTTGTACGTCTGGCAGTTTGCACCTTAGGCTGGTGTTGGACAGCAAGCTGGGGAAATTTCCAAAGAAATCAACTCCACAGAGATCCCCTAAGCCAGAGGCGCTAAGGTGGATATGAACTCCAGGGTTCTGGGGATCCCCGAACGCATAGGGACAGTCAGCTTTCTAGCTGTGGGCAGCAACACCCACCTTGAGTTTCTTGACGCTGGTGCAGGGGTCATTGGAGAAGCTCTCGGTGTCGGAGATCTCAATGTCCTCACCATACAGCACCCCGGTCAGGTCGTTCCTTACCTGTCAGTAGAAAGAAGGCAGAGAATGGGTGGGCTGGCAGGCACTGGAAGGGCAGGCTCAGAGAGGCCATCCTGGGAAGCAGCTCCCCACTCTACTGACATCACAAGGGGATTTGCTGTTTACAAACTAGGAGGCTCTGTGGGACCATGGGACCTTTGAGATTGTCCCTTCAGTCTTACCCTGCATTTGATGGATGGACAGGGGAAGGCAAGATAGGGCAGATGTTCACGAAGAATGTCCAGGGGTTTGTGGGAGGCAGGCTTATCTGTCTCCAACCCAGTCCAAGTAAACTTTTCTATAATACTGTTTTCTATAACCTTTCTGAAATATACTTGCATACCTAAAAGAAAAGAAACTTGAGCAGATATACATCCTCATCCATAGCACCATTAGTATTCATGTTAGCCAAAAGGAAGACAGATAAGCACTGGCATAGGGATAGCACTGTGGTGCACTGAATTAAGCTGCCATTTGTGACACAGCATTCCATATCTGAGTGCGCTGCTGCTCCACTTCCAGTACAGCTCCTTGCTAATGTGCCTGGGAAGGCAGTAGGTGATGGTTCAATTACTTGGCCCCTGCCACCTATGTGGTAGAGCTGGTTGCCGGCTTCGAAATTTGACTTGGCTTAAATCAACCTGTTGGAACTATGTAGGGGAGTGAACCAATAGCTGGAAGATCGCCTTGTCTCTGCCTCTTTCTGTCACTCTGTTTTTCAAGCAAATGTCTTTAAAAGAATTACACTGCAGACATACAATAAAATGCTGTCCAACCTTAAAAAAAGAATGAAATTCCTTGATATATGCCATACATTGTACTCTGTGAAATAAGCTGGACCCAACAGGACAAATGGAGCAGGATCCCAGTTGCATGAGGTAGCCAGAGCAGATGGAGAGTTGAACAATGGTCTCTAGGAGCTAGGGAGCCAGTGGCTAGAGGATGGAAAGTTTCAGTTTGAGCTGACCGAAAGTTGTGGAAATGGACGGTGGTGATAGTTGTGCAACACTGTAAATGTGTTAATGAGCTGAGCTGTGCACTTAAAAATGGCCACAATGATCACTTTCATGCTTCATGTGTTTGAACACAATACAAACATGCACTTCATGTTTCTGTAGTCAGCCAATAAAAGGCACATACAAGTGTTTGGAATCATCTGGCCCTAAATGGCACATTACAGTCACTGGGAAGCTCCAACAGGAGCCGCCATTTCTTATTTCTTTAAAAGGACACAGACATGGACATGTATGATTTCTGGCCAGCAGGGCCTGAGTGCGTACTCCTCTGAATGCCTGAAATGCTTTGTAAAAAACAACAAACAAACAAACTAAACAGTTCAGGGCCAGTGCTGTGACATAGATAGTAAAGCTGCCTCCTGTGGTGCCAGCATCCCATATGGGCCGTGGTTCAAGTTTTGGATGCTCCACTTTCTAATCCAGCTCCCAGATTATGGCTTGCGAAAGCAGCAGAGGAAAGCCCAAGTCCTTGGGTCCCCAGCACCCATATTGGATACTCAGAAGAAACTCCTGGCTCCTGGCTTTGGACTGGCCAAGCTCCGGCCATTGTGGTCCCTTATGGAGAGTGCCAATGGATAAAAGATCTTTCTCTCCATGTGTTGCTCCTTCTCTTTCTCTCCTGTAAGTCTACCTTTAAAATAAATAAATCTTAAAAACAAAAAAGGAAGTTGAATAGTTAGGGAGAAATTTGTCCATCCTTAGTTTTTACCTTTATTGAGGAGGAATATTGGGAACTGGCAGATTGACAAAGTGCTTGCTTAGCCATTAGAGTTCATTCCTGCCAGGGCAAATCCTTTCTAGACACAGGTAGGGCCTCAGGGCAGGGACCAACTGCAATGATCAGACACAGAACAGGTATAATGCCTGCCCCTGTTGGACGGCAGTGTGACTCAGTGCACCAGCCCAGGGGCACACAGGTCAGGCTCTACTCTTGGCCTGTGTGGCACCCCCATTTAGGGATGCTATGTGCCCTCTCCTACCTGGATATGGCACTTGCATTGTTGACTCAACAAGGCTCAGGAAAAACCTGGAGGATGTGAAACACCTTCCTAGTTGTGACAATTCTCTATGGTGCCTACAAGTTGGCAGAAATCACATCTGGATGCAAAGCGTGGCATTAAGGCTGTCAGTGACTCAAATTTGTGTGTATATATGCATGTGCATATGTGTGTGTTTGTGTGTATGTGTAAGTATAAGATATTTCAAAGGCAGCCAGAACTCAAAGTAAGCCAAAAATGCCCTAGAGATTGTTCATCCTTTCCATAAATTCATGGATGAGAAAGCTGAGGTGTGAGTCTGGCCCAATGCTTGCTCCTGGAAGGTCTCTTCTGGATTCTATCTGACGTGGCTAACTCAAGACCCACAGACCAGGACAGTCAGCACCATCAGCCACTTGCCTGTCACCCATCATTCCAGCATTGAGGAGTCTGTTCCGGGATTGGGTGTGTATTCTAATGGATTTTTTTCTTTTAAGGGAAGGCACACGGGACATCATTGTGACAAATGCATTTTAAAAGAACAATAGTGTGGAAAGGAAATAATAAAGTTGAGTTTGCTGACAAGGGGAAGGAGTCATCCCCGCTCCTCCCCCACATACAGACAGGGGAATGGCATGATGTCCAGGTAAAGGGCTTGCTATGGACATTGACAAGTGTTCTTTTTTTATGGAATTGCAGGGATCACAGGGGTATCAGAACTGGTGCCAGGCACATGGCCATGAGTTCAGCTTCTCTATTCATCTCTGTTGTCCAAGTAGATTCATGGAACCATTCATTCCCAAGGGAATAGGGGGCACTCCACACAACACTCATCCCCACACGCCTCTGGTACCCTGGCTGCAGCTCATGGTGGCTCCTAGTGGCTCATGCAGCCCCATCTGCCTGCATGGCCACTAGGAGTATGATCTGCTGGAAGCTCCTGGGCATGCAGGGAGGGCTGGGGAGAGATGGACAATAACAGGCACATCAGGGGACACAGGTGGGCACAGAGAAGAAACTGCATCTTCATCTGGAAAACAAGACTGGGAGGGCAGTGGACACAGGTGGGCAGGGGTAAGGAAGAACATGAACAAGGAAACAATGGGGAGAGATGGGGTTTTGGGGGGTGGCTCCCAAAGACCAAAGCTTCCTGGCTAGCCTATAGGATGCTGGCAATGCATGTAGGTGTTAGGTTTGCTCACTGGGCCACAGTGCCACCCCCATCCCTCTCTGCTTCTAAAGCAGGGAATCCAGGCCCCTTCCCTGAGAACAAATCCCCAAGGAGCCAAAGTCATTTGGCTTCATCCAGGGCAGAGCCAAGAAAACGTGCCTCATTCCCAGAAGACAGCGTGTAGCTCATCCAAGATCAAGGGCCCTTTCTGGAGGCCTTGGACACATTAGCTGCAGCGTCCTAAGCGTAGAAGTTCTCGGGTTCCTGTGCAGCTTCAGAAAGAAAAATTCAAATCAAGAACTGTGACACTGGACTCAGACTTGCCAATTTTCTGCAAGAAGGCAAGAGACAAGAAGAAACCACAGTCCTGGCCCAAGCCGGGAGCTGTGGGACAGCCCTGCTCTGACTGGGTAGAGTGAGGATCCTGCCAGGTTCCATTAAGCATCTGTGTGCTGACACCAGTGCCTTGGCACTCTGCCTCCTACGCAGCTGGTTCCCGGGGCTGTGGATGAGGAGGGTGACAGGGACTTGTCACTCCAATGAAGCCATCACAATGACCTCATTCCTCCAGTTGACTGTGTGCCTGCCTCCATCCACACACTGAGCACTGGGGACAACAGTTGATCCCCCATGGAGAGCTGGGGGATGGATGCACACACAGGATCAGGAGTAAGTACAGGTGAACAGATACCTCAGAATAGTGCCTTGCGTGGCACAACAGAGCCCATGTGAGATGGATCTATGTGGGTTTCCTGGTGAGCCAGGGAGGCCAACTGTCAGTTACACCCACTCACTCTGCAGGGTCTTGCCCTCAGGGCCTCTGCTCAGTACACATCACACACATTGCAGCCTCACCCAGCTCTCCCAAGAACTCTTTAGTCTCAAGCCCAGGAAACGACTACATTTCTACTGTCCTGTGGTCCAGCCCAGGTAGTCTCTGCATCTCCTACCACAATCCTGTACCCCATCCCTCTCTGTTAGCCACAATGCAGTCAGTGAGCTCCCTGGCCCTACAGGTGCTCCAGCCACCCATTCTCTGGCAAAGCAAGGTCAGGGGTCTGGTGAGGGCAGTCCCCTGTCACCTGGCAAGGGATCCTTATAGATCCCAGGTTCTTGGTCTTGGCTCCTGCCCAGTCAGTGCCCAGCTTCAGGGCTTCTGTGCCTTCTGGACAATCACCCAGAGCCCTGCACCTTTCAGAATGGCATGTGTTTGCTCCTACCAGCCTTATATATGCATACATGTATTCACTCATGATATTGCCAACTCCCCTATCCAGGTGCTGCGTGAAGTCATGCTGGGTCTGTCCAGTCAAGGTGAGAGATTTGAGTCAGCCGACATCCTGGAGCATGTGTAAGTCCTCACTGACACAGAGACTCTCAAGTTCATTCAGGGGCACACTTCTGGGAGTGGCGACAGCACAGCAGCTGGTAGAGCCAGGCCAGCAGTGGGGAAGAACAGGGAAAAGGAGGCCAGCCTGAGCAGCGGCATGTGCGGGGTTCCTGGAGTGGGAAGCTACAAGCAGAGAAACTACCAGAAGGCCAGAGTTGGGCTGAGTGTAGAGCATAAAGCAGAGGGGAGGGGAGGGTGTTGCAGTGATATGAGAAACAGGAGGGAGGCAGGGCTGGAACTAATCAGAAGTCTTTGAGTCAAGTTCTCCATGGGATTCCAGTGCATGGCTAAAGCTGTGTGAGCTCCTGGTGCTGTGTTCCAGGCTGGGCAGCCACAGGTTGCCTTAACCAGTCACCAGGCCCCATGGTGACCAGATCCCGGTCAATGCCTCATTCTGCAGGGAGATTCCTCTTCTGCCCCTCTACTGCATATGCCTTCCTTTTAACCCA